CAGGCACTCTGGGAGGCGGGGAGGAGGCCCGCACGTGCTGCCGTGCAAGTCCCTGGAGGGTAGCCGCCAGCCAGCACCCCCAGAGGTGCTTTTGTAGGCCCGGAGCTCTGCAGCTTTGTTGCAGCACATTAGGTGGAACAGCTGGGTTACGCGGGTATCGCTCATTCCAGCAGCCGCTGCTGCCCCTCCCCTCCCCTTCTCTGCGCATCTCCTCCCTCTTCCCTCTGTGGACCAAGCAGACTCGCTGGCCTAGGTCCGATTGGGGTATCTACACTGTTTGCATCCTCTCTGGGGGAGCTCAGTTTGGTCTGTAAGCTGCCCACTTTCCTTGAGAAGCTCAGCCTCGCGACCCTAACCAGCTGTGCCCCCTGCTCTTGGGCCTCTAGGCACAGCTGGCGCCCGCCCCTGGGGACAGGCGGACCAGCAGACTGGCGATCAGGCTCTCCCTGGACCTTGGAATAGAGCTGCAGCTCAAGGTAGTCCTTGGGTTAGAACTGCAAGGCCCTTTAGTCTCCTCCCTCGCGGAGCCTCCTCTCCCCTGGGGACTGGGGGGTTGGGGGAGTAGGCACTGGCCTCGTTTTTTCTCTCCAGCCTCCCCTGTTCAAAAATAACGATAAGCACGATGCTGGGAGGGGGTTTCTGTGTCAGAGGCAGAGCGAGCAATTATTGTAGTAGGGAAAACACTGTCTGAGTGTTGTGAGAGATCTAGAGAAGCAGCCAAACCTTCCAACTTCACAGTTACTTAAAATACTCAGCCCGCCTGGCCACTGTCATTGTCTGCTGCAGACATTTCTGACATTGGTAACCACCGACTTTGCCTAGGCTCCCTGGCCATGAGGGAGGGGCTGTGCCTGCCATGCAGCCACAGTCCAGGCTCCTCAGTTGGCAGCTGTACTGGCCACGCAGAGCTGGCCTCCTTTTGGCCAGGTTCTTCTTGGCCTGGGCTGCAGGGTTAAGGTGAATCTTGTCCTGCACAAAAAAAAAAAAAAGCCTCCCTCTGAAGCAGCCTGCTGCATCTGGGTGGATATGGGTGGGTGGAGGGTCCTGAGCTTTTGGAATCCCCACCCCACACCTGGTGATTCCAGCAGAGCCCACACCCCCAGTGCACTTTCCCTCAATCATTCTTCCACTGCCCAGTCATTGCAGGTGGTGTGCCTCTGGCAATGGACTCTAGGCCTTCCTGAGAAGCAGGAGAGAGGGAGCAATCCAGGAGCTTAGCAGGCTCTTTATGGACCTTTGACCAACCTCTGAGGGTGGAGAACCATTTGAGAGGAGACAATGAGACCCAGTAAATCCCTCATTTGGGAGGAAGGCCAGCTGGGGACTTTTCTGACACCTGCAAGTAATGCAGGTACCATACTACTCTCATCTCCTCCCACCTTGACCAGTGTCAACACAAACCCCCTAACTTTCAGTTGGGCATCTTCAGCCCAGGGCTGGGCCAGCCCTCAGCCCTGCCTCCAACCAACAACCACCTAACATATGCAACCTATTTAACTCTCTTCCCCATACCCAAACTCACTCACCCTACATGTCCAAGTTCTCTTTCCTCTCTGGCTCTAGCTCTGGGGCTTTCTCAGTGCCTTTCCTGCCTGTCTCTTGCAACCCATGATGACTTCTCTTCCAAGCTGCCTGAGTCCCTTGGGCACTTTGGGGCTTAAATTATAATAGTAGGCAAACTATAATTAAGTTTCTCTGCCTCTACTTTGTCTCTGATAACATGGATGTCTTGAGTTCTCTCATAACCCCTCAGAGGGGTAAATGCAACCTGGAACTCTGCCACAACCCTATCAAAGCTTAGCAATGCAAAGAAGTTAAGAAATGCTCCAGAAGGACTTGCTTTCTTTGTAGAGCTTTCAAGAAGACCTTTACCACTCCAACTTGCACTTGTCCTGACCCATATGAAAGTGATTAGAGAAATGATACTCAAGGCTCAGTTATTTGTTGAATATGCCTAATAAGGATAGAGAAGGGGAATGGGTTGAAACTATAAGAAGAAAAATCATGATATATCTCTTCAACAGCAAGCACAGGATCTGGACTGTCCAGACCCCAGACCACACATACTTTTGGATGCTGGCTCAGGAGCTTAGAAGCAAAACATGGCGAGATAGGAGATCTCTATATGCAGGAGGATTATCCCAGGAAGCTTCCAGAAAGTAGAGGGATTTGTCAAGGTAAAGAGTAATGGTATAAGCAAAATTAGGAATAAGAGGGGTGTTGCTGGCAAGCAGGCTAAGTGAGATGACTGGGTATTTTCTGGTTGAGATTGTATGACTCTAAGATATTTGGTGCCTGGTGGTGGGGGTTCCCAGATGCCAGGGTATGGAATGGGGATCTGATCATGGGGAAAGGGACCATCAAAGAATGGGGAATTAGGAGGTTTTGGGGTGTGTGTATGTGTGTGTGTGTGTGTGTGTGTGTGTGTGTGTAAATATGCCATAATAAATTGGGGTTTTAGTGTGAAGTCTGAGACAGAGATTAGAAGCATGTCATATGTTGGGCAGGTAAGAGGCCACCTTTGGATCTGGAAGTAGAACTGGGGGGGTTGGCTATCTCTAGAGGGAAGTTGTACCATATCTGTCTCCCTTCTGCCTTGTGGGGGTTGGGGAGGGGGAAGGAGAGAGCCTGGAGCCTACATACCACCGTGGTGGAGCCTAAGTGTCCCTCAGGCCTCTGCTGATCTCCTTCCTTCCAACTGTACAGGCCTTCATGGAGTACCAGTTTGGACTTATGTGCTTACATATGGGAATCCTGAGCCCTGGAAAGTAACTGGGACTTGCTTAAGGTCAAACTGCATTTAATAATAGGGGGATAGGCTGCTGTTTCCTGTGCAGTGGCTATTTCCACTTTATTCCACTGTGTCCAATGGCCTCCGTTCAAAACACACCTCATTAACCAACCTCTCACCTCACCTCACCTCACCTCACCCATTCCTCAAGAGTGAAGGGGTGTTGGGTTAGCTTGGGGGCCCCATCTGGGAGCCCCTCCTCCCCTAACATGACTCTTTTGTGCTTCTTGATCTTTGTCTGCAGCCTGTCAAGGGGGTTAAAACTTCCAGAAGGGAGGGAAGTAGTTGGAAGATATTGCCAGTCCAATGATTCTCTTCTAGCATAGTGGAGGTGTGAAAAATTCCTTAAGAACTATTACATGTACACTCTTAGAAAGTGTGTGTGGGGGGTGGGTAGAGGAGGGAACAGCCCTGCTCAGCTGGCTGCTCCAGGGGAATAAGGGAAGGAGAATAGCAGAAGCCTGGCAGGTCACTGGCTTGCTTACAAAACCAAAAAGGAAGAAGGGGCTTCCAGCCCCCTCACTTACAAATAGGCTACTTGAGGCTAGAAGAAGGCATTCCCAGTGTTATTCCATAAGTTCCCCTGCTTCGAATCCTGTCCAGGCAGATAAGATAGGTGATAAAGGTAAAACTCCCAGAGGTGGTATTTCATTGCCTTCCTGTATCACCTTACCCATGTTGCTGCCAGGAAGTTCTCAGAGCTAATCTGAGCCTCTCATGCTATACTTAAACTGTGGTGTGTGTGTGTGTGTGTGTGTGTGTGTGTGTGTGTGTGTGTGTGTGGGGGGGGGGGAGGTGGGGGTATCTG